ACGGTACGCGGGCCTCTCACTGTTGTGGCCTCTCCCGTTGCGGAGCACAGGCTCTGGATGTGCAGGCTCAGTGGCCGTGTCTCACGGGCCTAGCCGCTCCACGGCATGTGGGATCTTCCCGGACCAGGGCACGAACCCATGTCCCCTGCATCGGCAGGTGGACTCTCAACCACTGCGCCACCAGGGAAGCCCTCTAATTTTTTATATATATAGTCAGATGACCCCTTTATAATTTTACTTTACTAGATCATGAGCTACCTGTAGGTAAGAGCTAAATCTTTTTTTTTTTCAGCTTTTTGAATATAATTGTCAAATATGAATTGTATATATTAAGGTGTACAACTTGATGTTTTGGTATCTGTATACATTGTGAAATGATCACCATAATCAAGTTAACTAACCTATCCATCATCTCATTACCATTTCCTCCTCCTTTTTCTCTTCTTTCCTTCCTTCCTTTCTTCACTTCAGATCTAACCCCTTAGCAAATTTCAAATATAGAATATAGTATTGTTAACTATGATCACCACGCTGTACATTAGATCTTCAGAGCAAGAGCTAAATCTTGAACATCTTTATATTCCCAGTGCCTTACCACAATGTCAGGCATTTTGTAGGTGCTTAATAAATATTAATTAAATAGAAGAATGACTATGTAATGCTGCTGTATTAAATAGTGTGTCATCCACTAATTATTTTATATGTATATGTTTTATTTCCCCAGCTAGATTATAAGTTTCTTGCAGACAAGGGCTTTTATAACAAAGTAATGCTTAGGATGGTTTTAGGCAATGAATAGTAGTTTTTTTAAAGTGGTAAATGAAGATGGACTTGTTTCTAAATAGTTGTTTCTCTGTAATAAAAATTACAGGGTCACAAATTTGTTAGAGGAATGTGTTAATTTTCAAAAGCAGTAAGAGAGAAAGACTTCTTTTGAATTAAGGAGGATAAGAATTGTTTACTCTGCTAGAAGAAAATTGGACATCAGACTAACTCAGATTCCTGAGTTTCATCAATTTTTCCTTTCAAAGGTGTCATGATTATTTCAGGGTTCAGAAAGGAACTTAGGATGCCTCTTGAGCCAATCTAGCATGCCTAACCATTTAAAACCAGAGAATATTTGTTGAAACTACTGCTTTTGGTTGTTTTCTTTTCTCATTTGTGAGTTCTGAATGTTTGAAAGTAAGCCAAAAATCTTATCTGTGTTTGACCTAGACTGATTCACACAAGTTTTCTGTTTTGAGATATGAACACATTGGGTTCAACATATTTCTTTCCTTCCTGTTCATCTTAAAGGTTAACTTCTGCTGCAGCCTAAAGTCAGCTTTATGACTTGAAATGTATTGACTTATGTCTTTTTTCCCCTTTTCATTGGAACTCATTTTCTTTCTATCACAAGTTTAGGTTGTTTAGCTAGCATGTTGCAAGGAGAATGAGGATATACTGGGTCATAAATTCTTTTTTTTTTTTTAATTAATTCTTTTTCTGCCTTTTCCCCAGAACTACAATGGTGTGTCTGACGTAGAGCTGAGAGTAGCATTACCAGATGGAACCACAGTTACAGTCAGGGTTAAAAAGAACAGTACTACAGACCAAGTATATCAGGTAAATTAAACTTGAACAAGTAGGCTTGACATTGGTTGGTTTAAAACTAAGAAAGATAGATTAAATGAGTTAATACATATAAGGAGCTTGGAGTATCTGGCATGTAATAAATTTATTAAATGTTAGCTGCTGCTGTTGATGTTATGATTATTAACGTGGAAGTACTTTGTCCTCCTTGAAAGAAAGATACAATAAATATCCCCAGGTTGTAATGGTTGTGATTAGCACCCCCTCTTTTTAATTGTAAAAGACTTTCTAATGTATGTGAAAATAGAATAGTACAGTGAAACTCCATGTACTCATCACTCATATTTAATAATCCTCAAGATTTTGCCACATTTGTGTTATATATCCTTTTTTCCTTTTCTTTGTTTAAATATTTTAAAGCAAATTTCATGTTTTTCGACCTGTGTATATTTCAGTATACATCTCTAAAAAATATGGATGTTCCTCTTACATAATCACAAAGCCATTATCAAACCTAAAAAATTAACTACTTCCATGGTATTAACTAATAATAAATCCATAGTCAAGTTTTCCCAATTGTCTAAAAATGATTTTTAACAGTTGGTTTGTTATAATTTGGATCTAAACAAGGTCCTTATGTCCTTAAAAAACATTTGGTTTTTATGTTTGTTTTAATATAGAGCAGCCTGCCTTCCCTTCCCTTCCCCAACTTTTTTCCCTTATGTTATTGTTTTATTGCAGAAATTGGGTCTGTGTCCTGTGGAATGTCCCACATTCTGAATTTATTTGTTTGCTTCTTTTGTCTATTTGTGTCATTTAATATGTCTTTCTGTCTACTTATATTTTCTATAAATGGAATTTTTCTCTAGAGGCTTGATTAGATTCAGGTTCAGCTTTTTGATGAGAATACTTCATAATCGGTGCTATATACTTCATATTGCTTCTCAACCGGAGGAACACAATATCTGGTTATCCACTTTTAGTGATTAATCAGTAGGTTTACATGGTAATAACCCAATGTCTCCATCGTTAAGTTCTTCACTGATCTTTTATCCAATAAGTGTATCACTGATGATTACTGTCCTAACCAGTGATTTCATTAAGGGTTGCAAAATGCTGATTTTCCAATTTTCTCATTTCTTCACATTTATTTTTTTTTATTTTTTTTTTTATTTTTTTTTTTGCTGTACGCGGGCCTCTCACCGTTGTGGCCTCTCCTGTTGTGGAGCACAGGCTCCGGACGCGCAGGCTCAGAGGCCATGGCTCACGGGCCCAGCCACTCCGCGGCATGCGGGATCCTCCCGGACCGGGTCACGAACCCGTGTCCCCTGCATCAGCAGGTGGACTCTCAACCACTGCGCCACCAGGGAAGCCCTCTTCACATTTATTAACTAGAATTCTTCTGTAAAGAACTTTCCCTTATCAACTGAGACTATTTAGTATCCTGAAATACAGTTTATAGGAAAAGGGGGATAAATATTTAATTCTTCCCTTTTATTGCCAGTTTTTGGCATAAAGGATCAATGCCCTAGCTGATTCCAGTGATGTCCAATGAGATAATTATTTTTTGAGTATCATGTGGCTTTTTAGATACTCAGTATGATTTAATCAAGAACATATATTCTTTTTGGTGCTCACATTGTTCTGTCTTTGGTCAGTGGAATCTCCTTCACGTCTGCTCCTGTATTTTTGTGGTGCAACCCATTTGTTTATGATAGCATCCTTGCTTTTTGGTAGAACAAGATGCTCTGGGCTCATCTTTGTACATTTCCTACACTAGATCTTGAATCAGTCATTTCCCCAAGGAGTCTTTCCTTTCAGTGAGGAATGATATTTAAAGATCATGATCCGGGTGCTGGGTATAATTGTTTCTTTTAGGCCTTTTCATTGGTCTTTAATCCTGATTTGATCAAGATTTTCAGGGAGACTAGTGGGTTTCTGGATATTAGTACTTATTTCTCCTTTGTGGCAAACAAAAACTTTACCCCCCAGATATTTACTGTATACCATGGCAAAGGATATGTACAGGATCTGAGGTATTTCAGAACTTATAAAATGGTGGATTGATTGCAAGGAAAATTAATAAATATTAAATTATATTAATTATAAAATATAATTTTATATTTTATAATTTTCTAAATTTTATAATTTTATAATTATATAATTTATAAATAAATTTATAATAATTTATAAATAAATTTATAAATAAATAAATTTATAGTTTATAAAAATTTATAATTTTTATAAATTTTATAAATTTTATAAATTTATAAATAAATAAATTTATTTATAAATAAATAAATTTATAATAATTTATAAAATAATTTATAAAATTTTATAATTTTATAAAATTTTATAAAATATTTTATTTTATATTTTTATATATAAAATATAATTTTATAATTATATATTTAATATTATATTATATATTATAAAATATATATTATAAAATATATAATATTTTTTAAAATATATAATTTAAATTTTAATTAAATTAAATTAAATTTAAAATTTAATTTTAAATTATAATTTAAAATTATAAAATATAATTATAATTATATTAATTATAAAATTAATTTTATATAGCTTATTGATGTTTTGTTTCATTTTCAATACTTCTCTAGCAAGGCCTAACTTTTTCTTTCACTTCTCTCCTCACCCTGTTACTGAGACTTCTAGCTATAAGCCATTTTCCAAACCTTGAGAAGATTTCAGTTTCTATCTAGTGCAGTATAGAATGGTAACTTAGAACACTTAGAGTCTCCAGTTTCTGCCTCACATCAGGGATGAACCTAGGTCTGATATGTGAGTAGATACAGGAAGAAGGATATCATATTTGGTTTACTGAGACACTAATACTCAGTAATTTTCTCTTGTTTAATTAACACCTTATTTATACATTTTGGGATTGATCTTGAAAAGGAATTTTGGTACTACTAGTTTGTGTTTTTTGCTTTGTGTTTTCTTGCTGTTATTTGTATGTAATTTCAATTTTCCTTTATTTGCATATGGAGTCTTTCAATTTCTTTTTATTTATCATGTTGGGACCTTAGTTCCTAGAGAGAAGGACTGATACTTGTTTAAAATGTCTCTGTTGTCCCAACATTTTGCTATTTTCACATGGATAAGGATGATGATAATTCTTAGGATATAGAGGTCCCCAGCATGAGACGTGGATCATCTGAAAAGTAAACAAGAATAATTTGTGAAGTATGAGCAAAATTGATAAACAATGTTTTAAGCTCAAGAACCAAAGATATAGATCTTGTATGTTAACAGCCTGTATATTAAATGTAGGCTGAATGTGTGAGACTAGATATTTAAGAATTTATTTTCTTTTTAAAATCTGTCCTTATGTAGCACATTTTTTGTAAGTGCTATTCTAAAAGATCCTCATGATATGAAGTCCTATTTCAGAGAGCAAAGCTGATATTTAAGGAGAGACTGTTATCAGCTTTAATTGGAGGGGAGAAACTCATATTTAGAGATCATAGCTGTTTGGATCAAATAAAGGTATTTTTCTCTTTTATTTCATGCATATATATTCATACATACAAAAAAGCGTAGCTGTGGACCATGAATTTAGTTTATATGAAACCAAGACGGCAAAACCCTTCTCTTCTCCCCGCTCCTCATGCATATACCTGTCTTTTCCCACAGCACTGTCTGATTTTGTTTTCCTGAAACTAATCTATCCTGTTTACACTTTAGGCTATTGCAGCAAAGGTTGGCATGGACAGTACGACAGTGAATTATTTTGCCTTATTTGAAGTGATCAATCATTCCTTTGGTAAGTGCCAGTAACTAATATTAAGTTTTGTTTGAGGATATTTTATCCTAATACTAAGAAACTGAAGCTCCCAAAAGCTGTCAAATTGAAACTGTTTGCCTAGAGAAGAAGATCTTGAAGACAAGGGGCAATCCCACTAATTGGGACTGTTTCTAACAAGCAGACAGGACAAATCCCATTAAGCACAATCCCACTAAGGCTAGATACCTGATCACCCCTTTTTCCTCTGTTGGCAGTATCAGTTACTTACACCCAGCACTGAATCAGATACTTTCATGAGATTTTTAAAAATCAGAGTTCAAAATTAATATATTCCAATGAAACAGCCTTAAAAAGAGGGGATTTTCTACTTAGCCACAGCTTGTTTTAGCTTACTTTATGGTTTTTGTAGATTTTTAAGAATAGCTTTTTGTTTTCAGGAGTTAGAAAGAAATATGTTGATTAAAAGCCTTTGCTTTTTAAAAAAAATTAATTAGTTTATTTATTTTTGGCTGTGTTGGGTCTTCGTTGCTCCGTGCGGGCTTTCTCTAGTTGCGGCGAGTGGGGGCTACTCTTCGTTGCAGTGCGTGGGCTTCTCATTGCGGTGGCTTCTCGTTGTGGAGCACGAGCTCTAGGCAGGCGGGCTTCAGTAGTTGTGGCATGCGGGCTCAGTTACTCCGTGGCCTGTGGGATCTTCCTGGACCAGGGCTCGAACCCATGTCCCCTGCATTGGCAGGTGGATTCTTAACCACCGCTCCACGAGAGAAGTCCTGCAAACCACTTTTGACACGTTTGATCAGTCACAGCACCTTCTCCATACATTGCACAAATCTTTTTTTGCGTTTCAGTTGCACTTTTACCTTTCTTGAAATAATAAAGCATAATATGCCGAAAATGTTGCTTTTTTCTTCCATCTTCAATATTAAAATGACTATACAAAAATTCCCCAATTTTGATAAGTTTTTTTAAATGCATGCTGATATGATAGCTGTCACAGTACAGTCTGTTTCGAATGAAGTTAAAGACAACTAAGCGCTACTGGAGCCATTTTATGGAAAAGACCGAACGAACTTTTTGGCCAACCCGGTGTTTAAGTTTGTGTAAACAGATATCCTCTTCCTAGGAAGTTTTATTGCACTGTGACAGAGATTTTCTCTTATATATTCTTTTATAAAAGCTAGGGATAGTTGCACTGAGACCACAAAGGGGAGGAAGTTGGAAGCCTTGCTTTAAATGACAGATTTCCTACGGTTTATGGGTCTTTTCCACATCATATATATACAGGGCTAAGGCCAGAAACAACAGATAATATTGACTGATCAGAACTTCCTCATCCCGGAAAGGGAGAGAGTTTGGTAGATTTGAGTCGCCTTGCCATCCCAAGTCAAGGTAGAACAACTTTGATTCCCCCTAAAGCAGCTATCTCCCAATTGTTTATTGTCTTCCTAAGTCTCTACAGTCTAACTAGGCAGATATAAATATTACAAAGGATTGCTAAGGACCCAGGAGACTTGGATTCTAATCTTACCTTCTTCTCTAAGCTTTAGTTAACAAATAAAATGGGAAATATTTAATCTGTCTTTTGCTCTGTTATAAAGCCAAGTAAACATCAAGAGAAGAAAACTCCACCTTTTTAAAGAAAAACAATATAGAAATTAAAAGTGGTAGTGTTTTATACCTCTTGAGCATTGTTAGGAAGAGGAAGTAAGGCTACCCAGAAGTCACTTTTCTTTGGTAAATGTCTTAGACTTGTGGGGGGATGTGGAGAGCCGTTCAGCTCTTAACAATAAAAGCTGTTCATTGAGAACTGCCACATGAGAGACTCTGAATGCACCATAACTGGGTAAGAGGGGGAGACTTGCTTTAAAGATGTTCAGTGGACATTGCTGTAACTTAACTCCATTATGGATCAGATTTTTTAACTGACTTTGGAGTAGGTGATGTCTGCAAAGTCAGCATGTTAACTAAAAGGCATGTCATTCAGGTGAAAGATTTCAGTTAGCTTGAGGCTCAGTTGGCCAGTCATATTAGAAGGCGTAGATTTGGCTAGGCAAATGATATTTTGTGGTCCCAAGGCAGAGCTCCTGGATGGAACTAAGCTGATGTGCTGGTTAATGATAACCTCCATTCTTGTCTGCTTTACACAGTTCATACTAGGGAGATGCCTTGTATATCTTCTCACTCTAGCTTTCTTTGCTTTGTCTTCTCTTTAGTACGTAAGCTGGCACCTAATGAATTTCCTCATAAACTATACGTCCAGAATTACACATCAGCTGTGCCAGGCACCTGCCTAACCATTCGAAAGTGGCTTTTTACGACAGAAGAAGAAATCCTCTTAAATGACAATGACCTTGCTGTTACCTACTTCTTTCATCAGGTGGGTGAACTGATCTCCCTGGAAAGGCCTGATTTCTTTTTCTGTTTGTATGTAGTGGTCATTTGCCAATACAGTGTGAATCCTTGAGTAAGCTGTTTTGTCTCCTGGATCTTAGTTAAATTTGTAAAATGTTCTGTCCCATTTTGACAAAAGATAAGTTTAAGAAGGTGGGGGGACTTCCCTGGTGGTGCACTGGTTAAGAATCCGCCTGCCAGTGCAGGGGACACGGGTCAGAGCCCTGGTCCAGGAAGATCCCACGTGCTGCAGAGCAGCTAAGCCAGTGCACCACAACTACTGAGCCTGTGCTCTAGAGCCCACAAGCCACAACTACTGAGCCTGTGTGCCACAACTACTGAAGCCCACACGCCTAGAGCCTGTGCTCCGCAACAAGAGAAGCCATCGTGATGAGAAGCCCTCACACTGCATTGAAGAGTAGCGCCCACTCACTGCAACTAAAGAAAGCCCGTGCACAGCAATGAAGAACCAATGCAGCCAAAAATAAATAAATAAAGCCATTAAAAAAAAAAAAGTTTAATAAGGGGATATCCTGGAGTTCAAAATGTATTTATTATTATTTTTTAAAACAATAACAAATGAACATTATGGGGCTATGTTCTTTTTCAAAAAATTTTTCATCACAATTATACATACATAGAGCTTAAAGTATCAAATAGTTCTACACAGGTTATTATGAAAAATATTAGTTATTCCCACTTCTTTTCCTCTCATAGGCAACCACTTTCATCTCTTTTAGCTTGTTTTTTGTTTTATTTCATCTTTTTAAAAAATTTTATTGAAGTATAGTTTATTCATAATGTTGTGTTAATTTCTGGTGTACAGCAGAGTGATTCAGTTATACATATATATTCTTTTTCATAGTCTTTTCCATTACGGTTTATTACAAGATATTGAATATAGTTCCCTGTGCTATATAGTAGGTCCTTGTTGGTTATCTATTTTATATATAGTGGTGTGTACCTGCTAATCCTAAACTCTTAGTTTATCCCTCCCCCAGCCTGTTTCCCCTTTGGTAACCATGAAGTTTGTTTTTTATGTCTGTGAGTCTGTTTCTGTTTTGTAAAGAAGTTCATTTGTGTCATATTTTAGATCCCACATATAAATGATATCATATGATATTTGTCTTTCTCTGTCTGACTTCACTTAGTATGATAATCTCTAGCTCCATGCATGTTGCTGCAAGTGGCATTGTTTCATTCTTTTTTATGGTTGAGTAATATTCCATTGTGTGTGTGTGTGTGTGTGTGTGTGTGTGTGTGTGTGTATGTGTATACACACACACATACCACATCTTCTTTATCCATTCATCTGTCCACGGACATTTAGGTTGCTTCCATGACTTGGCTATTGTAAATAGTGCTGCTATGAACATTGGGGCGCATGTATCTTTTCAAATTAGAGCTTTCTTCAGATGTATGCCCGAGAGTTGGATTGCTGGGTATTATGATAATTCTATTTTTAGTTTTCTGAGGAACCTCCATACTGTTTTCCATAGTGGCTACCCCAACTTACATTCCCACAAACAGGTATAGGAGGGTTCCCTTTTCTCCACACCCTCTCCAGCATTTGTTATTTGTAGATTTTTTTAATGATGGCCATTCTGATTGGTGTTAAGTGGTATCTTATTGTAGTTTTGATTTGTATTTCTCTAATAATTAGCGATGTTGAGCATCTTTCCATGTGCCTATTGGCCTTCTGTATGTCTTCTTGGGAGAAATGGCTGTTTAGATCTTCTGCCCATTTTTTGATTGGGTTGTTTATTTTTTTGTTATTGAGTTGTATGAGCTGCTTGTATATTTTGGAAATTAAGCCCTTGTCAGTAGCATGGTTCGCAGATATTTTCTCCCAGTATGTAGGTTGCCTTTTTGTTTTGTTTATGGCTTCCTTTGCTGTGCAAAAGCTTAAAAGTTTGATTAGCTCCCATTTGTTTATTTTTGCTTTTATTTCTATTGCCTTGGGGAGACTGACCTAAGAACACATTGCTACAATTTATGTCTGAGAATGTTTTGACTATGTTCTCTTCTAGGAGTTTTATGGTGTCATGTCTTATATTTAAGTCTTTAAGCCATTTTGAGTTTATTTTTGTGCATGGCGTAAGGGAGTGTTCTAACTTCATTGATTTGCACACGGCTGTCCAGCTATCTCAACACCACTTGCTAAAGAGACTATCTTTTCTCCACTGTGTATTCTTGCCTCCTTTTCAAAGATTAAGTGACCATAGGTGTGTGGGTTTATTTCTGGGCTCTCTATTCTGTTCCATTGATCCATATATCTGTTTTTGTGCCAGTACCACACTGTTTTGATTACTGTAGCTTTGTAGTATTGTCCAAAGTCTAGGAAGATTATGCCTCCAGCTTTGTCATTTTTCCTTTTGGATTTCTTTGGCAAGTCTGGGTCTTTTATGGTTCCATATAAATTTTAGGATTATTTATTCTAGTTCTGTGAAAAATGTCATGGGTAATTTGATAAGGATCACATTAAATCTGTGGATAGCTTTGGGTAGTATGGCCTTTTTAACAATATTAATTCTTCCAATCCAAGAATATGGGATATCTATTTCATTTTATATTTACTTCCATACCTCTATTATAATTTGATTATATTATTCCTACTTGATGTTTCCTATTCAAGCAATATTGCTTAATTACCTGCTATTGAAGATGGGACTTTAGCTCCATTTCCTCCCCCACTCCACTACATATTTGTACCTTTACATCTGTCCTATCTTCTTACTATAGTCAAATTACAATATTTGTTAGATTAATATTCAGTGTTTATACTGCTATGACTGTAAATAATGAATTTAGCAGAGCCATATAGAGAATACTATCCTTACTTTTTACTTTCTTTTAAACATGTTGTTTTAAAATTATTTTGAAAATAATTAACCCATTTCATAACACTTTATAAAGTATCCCATTACAATTCTAATTGGGTTTTTGTTAAATTTATAGTTTAACTGAAGAAGAGTCACCATTTTTATTAAATGTGGTATTCCCAACTAAATGTGTGATGTTTCTGTTTTATTCATCTCATCTTTTGTTTCCCCAAATAAAGTTTCTGTTTTATTCATCTCATCTTGTTTCCCCAAATAAAGTTCTGTCATTTTATGTTTCACATATGCCCCTTTAAATTATTCCCAAGTATTTTATATTTTTATTACAATTATGAATGGGATATTTTTTCTTTGTATTGTTGGAACGGAGTAATTATTTACCAGGAGTCAGAATATCTGGTTCAAGTACAAGCTCTCCATTGGGTAAATCCTTAACATAGCTTTGCTGAGATCTGTTTTATGATCTATTAAAGGGTAATAGTAGTACCTCACATTTTTAAATCAGTATCAAAATTTAAACAAAGCAGAGCTTGTGAAATTACTTTTTGAATTATAAAACTGTAAAGCAAAAATAAAATATTTAGGTATATAGAAAGAAAAGCTGTTATTTTTGTAGCAGTATCTCATATGCAACAACTTTTCTGAACTCTTCTGTTTCTTCAAACAATTTTTTAAACAGCTTTATTGAGGTATAATTGACATACAATAAACTGAACATATTTAAAATTTATAATTTAATACTTTTTTTTTACCCCCTTAACCATTTTAAAATGTACAGTTCAGTAGTGTTAAATATATTCACATTATTGTCAGTGGAATCTCAGAAATTTTTCATCTTGCAAAACTAAAACTCTACCCATTAAACAACTCATTTCCCCCTCCCCTACCTCTGGCAACTACCATTCTACACTTTGTGAATTTGACTACTTTAGGTATCTCGTGTAAGTAGAATCATACCTTATTTTTCTTTTTGTGACTTGCTTATTTCATTTAGCATAATGTCCTTAAGGCTTTTTCATGTTGTAGCATATGACAGGATTTCCTTCCTTATTAAGGCTGAATAATTATATTCCATTGTACATGTATATCACATTTTGTTTATTCATCTGTGGATGGACATTTAGGTTGCTTCCATCTCTTGGCTGTTATGAATAATGCTGTCATGAACATGGTTATGTAAATATCTCTTCAAACTTCTGCTTTTAATATACCCAGAATTGGGATTGCTGGATCATATGGTAATTCTATTTTTAATTTTTTGAGGAAATCGCCACACTGTTTTCCATAGCAGCTGTACCATTTTACATTCCCAGCAGTGCACAACAGCTCAAATGATTTTTTTGATTGACTAGGTAAACAGTTGTGCCTTTTGGAAAATAATACTAAATTTTTTCCCTCCCTTAATTTTAGTTTTTTTTTTGTATCATATGTTGATGTTGGGAATATCTCAGGCATCTCGTCAATCCTAAGATGCCATCAGTTGTAAGATGCACTAGTATTTTATGTACTGCCAAGAGAAAAAAGCTACCAATTAAACAACACACGTTGATTATAAGATGCATCCCAATTTTAGGAACAATAAAATGTGAAAAAATGTGCACCTTAGAATTGATGAAATACTGGATAATAATGATAGTAATGTGCCTTTTCCTTAAAAAATTGATAAGGTCAAAATCCATAGTAGGATATATTTAATTTCCGGCTAAGCCTGGCAGACTAAACATACTTTTAAGCTACTTCTTCCTGAAAGCTCACTAAAGTAACATTAATGGATTTTAAGAGGCATAAACCTGCAAAGAGAAGAGGATGAGACACAGCAGATGAGAACAGTCAACAGTTTTTAGAAAATGAATGTTTGAATGAATCAACATGACTTTGGTTATCATGGAAGAATTGGTGAGAGGCATGTGGAAGGTTACAAACAAACAGGCAGTTAACCTAAGAGGAAAAAAAAAATGTACAAGAGAGGAAGCCCTGGTACAGTACGTGATTTAGTTGTGAACAATGTTTACATGCTTACAATAATCAATACTCATTACTGATTTAATTAATTAATTAATTAATTTTTTTGGCGGTACGTGGGCCTCTCACTGTTGTGACCTCTCGCATTGCTCCGATAGCGCAGGCTCAGCGGCCATGGCTCACGGGCCCAGCCGCTCCACGGCATGTGGGATCTTCCCAAACCGGGGCACGAACCCGTGTCCCCTGCATCGGCAGGCGGACTCTCAACCACTGCGCCACCAGGGAAGCCCTTGATTTAATTTTTATTGAGGTGTTGAAGGAAGAAGAAGTGAGAGTGTAGGAGTGATATAAGAAAGCTAAAACTTATTTATTTATTTTATTATTATTATTATTTTTGGCCGCACTGTGTGGCCTGTGGGATCCTAGTTCCCTGACTAGGGATCGAACCCATGCCCTCTGCAGTGGAAGCATGGATTCTCAACCACTGGACCTCCAGGGAAGTCCCTAAAACTTATTATTTTTAACAACAAGTCAACATTGTCTAAAATTGATAAGTTAGGAATTAGCAGCATAGGCATGACATTTAGAATTATGAAAGGAATATCACAAAAAACTGTTTACAGTGCTTTAAAGTATCTGTGTAATGAGGCTGTGGAATCAGGAGACTTATTTTTATTAGGCATTTCTTAGTAATACACATTTTAAAAAATTATGTATGTCTTTTACCTTAATAAAAAATTTTTAATTAAGGGAAAAAGGAATCTAGTGTGGTAATATTTATGTTTTTCACTCAGGGCTAGTCAAGCAGTATAATCTTGATTAGAAATGAGTGAGGAGAGAACATTTTACTGCCCCATGTGAAAATAGGTCACTTAGAGCTGCTGGAGTAGATGTTCACTCTGGGTAGATGACCCACCTCTGCCCTGGGGAAACATTCATCAATATTTAAGTGCTATTACTAGTCAGACACAGTTCTAGGTATTGGGGAAACTGAATAGATAAACCAGTATTCATTTGTTTGTTTTCCCTCTTTACTTCTCTCCCAGCTTTTCAGTAACTGATTTAAATTTGACCTGGAGCAGCTGAGTCTTTTGGTGATAAACAACAGAATGTTCAGGTTCTTCAGGACATTGGTGGCAGTTCTTATTGAGCATCGCCTCTGTGAATATAATCCTCTCTGACTAAGTGAATCCTTGCTTATACGGCTAGGACTGGGGAGACACTGGCATAATCTTTCCATTAGGCAGTCCCAGGCAGGATATTAATATCCTTGTTTGGTTCTTAGAGGAATTTAACAGCTAAATGATGCTAATATAAATGATAGTAATAGTAACTATTTATATATATTTATATATACTTCACAAAACTATTAACATCTTTTATCTCATTTTGTTGTCCACCTACAAGATGAATGTTATTCCTGTTTTACAGACTGAGAGGGTTTAAGTGACTTACTCAAGTGCATATTCGTCGCTGACAGCGAGAATTTGAACTAGTCTCTTAACTTCAGTCCTGAATTCATTCTGTTATGCAAATATTTTCCCTTAAAAGACTATGGGGAATGATTTCTGCCTTAAGGAAATCAGCAGTTTTCTGATAAAGATTCAAGTGGGCCCCTGCCTGGTGTCTGTGTAGAGTTGTCCTTTCAGTAACTCACTGAGGTTAGATCCTGAATGCCCTAGACAAATGGCTCTATTTGTTCTTTTTCTTTTTTTCCTCCCAAAGATCAGTTTTCCCTTCCATTAGATTTTTTAAGTTTTTCTTGGAGTGGAGGAGGAGTAGAGTAAGGTTGGAAAGGGGATGTATGTTTCATATGGCTGAACCAGGAATAGTTTAGAATTAGCATATTAGAATATTATATCTGGGTACCTTCATGCCTGTATCAAGTCCTCTTTGAAAGTTTTTCGGTTCATGGTCTCAGATTTATCACTTCCTCTCTTCCAGTTGTTACCACCCTAGATTAAGGTCTTGTTTCATTTCATGCTTAAAGTACCACAACATCGTTGATCTCCCTTGTTTCATTCTCTCCTTGGCTTAAATCATTTGGGCAGTCATATACAGATCAATCTTACTTAAAAAACAACAATAACAACAGTTTTTTTATTATTTATTTTAGCTCTCTACTCTCCTTAAGTCTAAATTCCTGTGCCTGCTCTTTAGGATCCTTCATACCCTATTAACCTACCCATTCAGAATTATTTTTCATTGTCCCCTAACATGTACCCTTTATTCAAATCAGGCAAGTCTGTCTCCTGAATGTATTTAAGGTCAAACCCATTCCTGTTTCCTGACTTTAGCTTGTAGTTTCTTCTATTCAACCTCTCCTTTGAGGTCCAACCGAGACTTCCTTGAAAACTACGGTTAGCAATAAGCTCTCCTGTTCTGGCTGCATGTATCACTTACTATTTATGTCACACATTTTTTTGCTACTTCACTATTATCTTTAATACAGTATTGTATACTATCTTGCAGTGTTCTGTAATTCTTTCTCATGTATAAATTAACCAGAATTTAAATCTCTTAACAGGAGAAACCAGATCCCTCATGTGCCTAGAAGAATCCTTGAGCACATACCAGACACTCATTAAATACTACTTATTCCAGTAAATATACCCATGTGGCAGAGTTTACTGGTGATAACCAGATGGATAAGAGTTATTGTGAAAATGAATCTATGTCTCTTTATTTTTATCAAGAATGTACTTGATACTAATTTTTACATTTCTTTCTTCCCTGCCTTGTTTTGGTGACAGGCTGTTGATGATGTGAAAAAAGGTTACATCAAAGCAGAGGAAAAATCCTACCAATTACAGAAGCTGTATGAACAAAGGAAAATGGTCATGGTAGGTTTATGTCCCCATAATCTCTTTATAAAATGCCCCTTTTTATCTCTTTTTTTTATTTTATTTAATTTTATATTGGAGTATAGTTGATTTACAAAGTTGTGTTAGTTTCAGATATACAGCAAAGTGACTCAGTTATACATATATCCATTCTTTTTCAGATTCTTTTCCCATATAGGTTATTACAGAATATTGAGTAGAGTTCCCTGTGCTATACAGTACGTCCTTGTTGATTATCTATTTATCCCTATTTTACATATAGTAAAATATAGAGTGTATATGTTAGTGTGTATATGTTAATCCCAAACCTCCTACTTTAATGCATATAGTGTGTATATGTTAATCCCAAACCTCCTAATTTATCCCTCCCCCCCACCGTTCCCCTTTGGTAACCATAAGTTTGTTTTCGAAGTCTGTGAGTCAGTTTCTGTTTTGTATATACATTCATTTGTATTATTTTTTAGATTTCACATATGAGTGATATCATATGGTATTTGTCTTTCACCTCCTGACTTCCTTCATTTAGTATGATAATCTCTAGGTCCATCCATGTTGCTGCAAATGGCATTATTTCATTCTTTTTTATGGCTGAGTAATATTCCATTGTATATATGTACCACATCTTCTTTATCCATTCCTCTGTTGATGGACATTTAGTTGTTTCCATGTCTTGGCTATTGTGAATAGTGCTGCAGTAAACATTGGGGTACATGTATCTTTCTGAATTTTGGTTTTCTCCAGATGCATGCCCAGGAGTGGGATTGCTGTATCATATGGTAGTTCTATTTTTAGTTTTTTTTTGGTTTTTTGTTTTTTTTACTTTTTTATTGACAGAATTTATAGCAGTTTCATATTACAGAAAAAACTAAGGAGATAGTACAGAGTTCCTATCTTACTTAATATGGTACACTTGTTATATATTAACTAAGGTCCAACAATTATTAATTTCCTTAGTTTTTTTTTACATCTTTATTGGAATATAATTGCTTTACAATGTTGTGTTAGTTTCTGCTGTACAACAAAGTGAATCAGCTATGTGTATACATATATACATATATCCCCATATCCCCTCCTTGTTGAGCCTCCCTCCTACCCTCCTTATCCCACCCCTCTAGGTTGTCACAAAGCATTGAGCTGATCTCCTGTGCTCTGCAGCAGCTTCCCACTAGCCATCCATTTTACATTTAGTAGTGTATATATGTCAATGCTACTCTCTTACTTCGTCCCAGCTTCCTCTTCCCTCCTCAAGTCCGTTCTTTATGTTTGCGTCTTTATTCCTGCCTTGCCACTAGGTTCATCAGTACCGATTTTTTAGATTCCATATATGTGCGTTAGCATACAGTATTTGTTTTTCTTTTTCTGACTTCACTCTGTATGACAGACTCTAGGTCCATCCACCTCATTACAAATAACTCAATTTTGTTCCTTTTTATGGCTGAGGAATATTCCATTGTATACATGTGCCACATCTTCTTTATCCATTCATCTGTCGATGGACATTTAGGTTGCTTCCATGTCCTGGCCATTGTAAATAGTGCTGCAGTGAACACTGGGGTCCATGTATCTTTTTGAATTATGGTTTTCTCCGGATATATGCCCAGGAATGGGATTGCTGGGTCATATGGTAGCTCTATTTTTAGTTTTTTAAGGAACCTCCATACTGTTCTCCATAGTGGTTGTATCAATTTACATTCCCACCAACAGTGCAGGAGGGTTCCCTTTTCTCCATACCCTCTCCAGCATTTATTGTTTATAGATTTTATTTTTCGATATATTTTTAATTGAAGTATAGTTGATTTACAATGTTGTGTTAATTCTGCTGCACAGCAAAGTGATTCAGCCATATGTGTGTGTGTGTGTGTATATGTATGTGTGTGTATGTATATATATATATATATACATACACACACTTTTTTTTTAAAACATCTTTATTGGAGTATAATTGCTTTACAATGCTGTGTTAGTTTCTGCTTTATAACAAAGTGAATCAGCTATACATATACATATATCCCCATATCTCCTCCCTCTTGCGTCTCCCTCCCACCCTCCCTATCCCACCCCTCTAGGTGGTCACAAAGCACTGAACTTATCTCCCTGTACTATGCGGCTGCTTCTCACTAGGTATCTATTTTACATTTGGTAGTATATATGAGTCCATGCCACTCTCTCATTTCATCCCAGCTTACGCTTCCCCCCCCCGTGTCCTCAAGTCCATTCTCTACATCTGCGTCATTATTCCTGTCCTGCCCCTAGGTTCTTCATAACCGTGTTTTTTTTTTTCTTAGATTCCATATATATGTGTTAGCATATGGTATTTGTTTTTCTCTTTCTGACTTACTTCACTCTGTATGACAGACTCTAGGTCCATCCACCTCACTACAAATAACTCAATTTCGTTTCTTTTTATGGCTGAGTAATATTCCATTGTATATATGTGCCACATCTTCTTTATCCATTCATCTGTCAGTGGATACTTAGGTAGCTTCCATGTCCTGGCTACTGTAAATAGAGCTGCAGTGAACATTGTGGTACATGACTCTTTTTGAATTATGGCTTTCTCAGGGTATATGCCCAGGAGTGGGATTGCTGGGTCATATGGTAGTTCTATTTTTAGTTTTTTAAGGAACCTTCATACTGTTCTCCATAGTGGCTATACCAATTTACATTCCCACCAACAGTGCAGGAGGGTTCCCTTTTCTCCATACCCTCTCCAGTATTTATTGTTTTATAGATTTTATTTTTCAATATTTTTAATGAAGTATAGTTGATTTACAATGTTGTGTTAATTCTGCTGCACAGCAAAGTGATTCAGCTATATATATATATATATACACACACACACACACACACATATACACATACTTCATTTTAATATTCTTTTTCATTATGGTTTATCATAGGATATTGAATATAGTTCTCTGTGCTGTACAGTAGGACCTTGTTGTTCATCCATTCTGTATATAAAAGCTTACATCTGCTAACACCAACCTCCCACTCCATTTTTCCTTCAACCTCCTCCCCCTTGGCAACCACCAGTCTGGTCTCTGTGTCTGTGTTTCTGTTTCGTAGATAGGTTCATTTGTGTCATAATTTAGATTCCACATATAAGTGATATTATATGGTATTTGTCTTTCTCCTTCTGACTTCATTTAGTATGATAATCTCTAGTTGCATCCATGTTGCTGCAAATGGCATTATTTTGTTCTTTTTTATAGCACTGAGTAGTATTCCATTGTATATATGTAACACATCTTTATCCATTCATCTGTTGGTGGACATTTAGGTTGTTTCTATGTCTTGGCTATTGTGAATAGTGCTGCTATGAACATAGGGGTGCATTTTTTAAAATAAATTTATTTATTTTATTTATTTTCATTTTTGGCTGTGTTGGGTCTCTGTTGCTGTGTGTGGGCTTTCTCTTGTTGTGATGAGTGGGGCCTACTCTTCATTGAGGTGCGTGGGCTTCTCATTGCAGTGGCTTCTCTTGTTGCCAAGCACAGGCTCTAGGGGCACGGGCTTTAGTAGTTGTGGCACTCCAGCTCAGTAGTTGTGGCTCGCAGGCTCTAGAGCACAGGCTCAGAAGTTGTGACACACGGGCTTAGTTGTTCCGCTGCATGTGCGATCTTCCCAGACCAGGGCTCTAACCCATGTCCCCTGCATTGGCAGGCGGATTCTTAACCACTGCACCACCAGGGAAGCCCGCATATATCTTTTTGAATTACGGTTTTGTATAGATATATGCCCAGGAGTGGGGTTGCTGGGTCATATGGTAGTTCTATTTTTAGTTTTATGAGGAACCGCCATACTGTTTTCCACAGTGGCTGCATCAGCTTACATTTCCACCAACAGTGTAAGAGGGTTCCCTTTTCTCCACACCCTCTCCAGCATTTGTTATTTGTAGACTTTTTGATGATGGCCATTCTGACTGGTGTGAGGTGATACCTCATTGTAGTTTTGATTTGCATTTCTCTAATAATTAGTGATGTTGAGCATCTTTTCATGTGCTTTTTGAAAATGCCCCTTCTTATCTCTTAAATCTATTCTAGTCATTTTTGAAAGATGTTTACAACCTGGTCAGTGGCTTAACTGATTTAAAAAGAAGGAGGGAGATACAGACCTTGATATAAAGTCCATTGTGTTCCTCCATTTAGCACACAGAAAGCTTATTGTGGTATATATAGGTATATAACTTTATTATTAATAATAACCAAACAGTATTCTTTTTGATAATAAAAAGTCCTAAAATTAGATGTGTAAAACATTTAATATGATAAAAATAAGATTCTGTAAGAATTAATATTTGGATGTTTAACATTAGAAATTATTTTAGTTGTGATTTAGCAATCACAAAATCATTTGTTTTCCTAACTCCCATCTGTGCAGTTGCTTAAACATTTACGCTCAGTAGTGCGTTTGGTTAGTATGATATCCTAGAGCTGTGTTGATTCCATAGCTGCTAGCCTCATGTGGCTATTTAAATTTAATTTTAAATTCATTTAACTTAAATAAAATTTAAAATCCAGTTCTTCCGATGCATTAGCACATTTCAGGTGTTGAGTAGTCACATGTGGCTAGTAGCTACTGTATTGGACAGCCCAGATATGGAACATTTTCATCATCACAGAAAGTTCTGTTGGAGAGGGCTACCTATGATATTCTTGGAATATTTCAAAATTAGTTTTGAATTGGTATCTGCTGTAAATAGAGGGATGAAAATTGTCAAAAATAAAATTTGTGAAGAACACTTATGAAAACTTGCACCCATATCATCTTAAAACTTCTTTCTTGGCCAATTCAGATAGTTGAAAATTTTCCAGTTATAGTTTTTCATAATAGTTTTCGCACAGTTTTTACACAAGGCAGTAATTGCATTGGTAATAATTCTGATAGGTCACCTGAATTTCTTTTGTACTTTCTGAGAAGTTCTTAGGAGGGAATGTTGATCCATCTAAATTAATTGTATTGGGACTTTCCTAGTGGCACAGTGGTTAAGAATCTGC